GTTTAATTAATTGGATTAATTAATTATTGGACCGGACTGGGCCGAGCCTATTTGGGTTTATATAAATACATAATTAGAGTTTGAGGTCCATAGGATTTTCATTATTTTTGCTGGCACAAGAGAAAACCCTAGAGGCTGCAATCATATTCTCTGTGTGGATCACCGTTGGAGGCTGGACAATTGGACAGCTGTGGTGGGGGAATCAAGGTTGTGGAATGAAAAGAAAAGCAAAAGGATTGCAGATCTGAAAAAGGTACAATCTTATCACAATTTCTATCTAAATACAAAGGCGATTCTTGGTGGGAATCGAAAATTATTTTAAATTCCGCTGTGCATGTATAAGTAGATTCCCAACACAAAATACTTTGCATGATAAGAATAAGGGTTACATGTAGTTAGATCCTTTTACAACTCTACCATCAACATCTATAAATACATGACCACAAGTTCAATGTTGAGGTACATTTTTACATTGTTTTCAATTCATGGCCTTACACACAAATTCTTTCTCTTACTTAAACATCAGAAGGACGACGAGAACACATCTCGAAACTTTTGTTTCAAATCTCGAAAGATCTCGTTCGTGACCAATCTCAGTCATCAAGTTCAAATATCTATAGGTACAATTTTTTGTAGTATCAGGAGGTAATGTCAAAATCTTACCTAGGCATGTGTAAAATCAAGAAGCGTCTTGTATTGTCTCCTAATTGTTTGAGTTAAAACAAAAAATAATAATAATAAATAAAATAAAATTGTTAGACCAAAATTTATTGTATAAAAGAATTTATTCATGGAAAAGAAAATGAAATTCTTGTTTGATAAAGTAAAGAAAAATAGAAGGATTAAGGAAAAAAATTATATAGTAAAGGAAATACTATTTGAGTAGGTGAATGAAACTTTCTAAAAGAGATTCAAAGTCATTTTTACAAATTCATGGCATTGCATCAGTAAAATTGTGCTCGACATCAAGAACAAGAATTTGGGTAGCTGAAGGGACAAGAATTCAAGGAGGTCATGTGTGAGATAAATATTGGAAACTTGTCCAAGTACAGGAATTCTTTCACAGAATCCCTACAGTAGCACCTTATTTGCAGACAGAGATTCTTTTTTTTTTTTTTTTTGTGTGTTATCTGCCAAGAATCTGTGTCATGAGGAATCCTGAAAAAATTCTGTGAAAATTTCCCCATACATGTAGCATTACTCTTCCAAGTAAAAAATCAAATAAACCCATCCACACGAGTTAGCTCATGTGTCTATTCTTACTTGAATAATTTTGAAATCATATGAGTGCTACATTGGCAGCACATATATAGTGCATTTTGTGCCATTGTTGTGTCATTAACCAATGGAAAATTGCCAAATGTTCTTCTGTAAATTTACTTCTATCAAATATTTTCTGTACCTATAGCATAACTGTTCTTGAATAATAGTATGTGGAACCAACACGGGAAGGTTGTGGAAAAAAAACAAACGAAAAAAGGAGGAGAAGAAAGAATGTGTTTAATATTCATGACAAGACTAAGACTGGGAATTCCATACCCAATCAGAATTTATCCAACACCTAAATACATCTTCCACCATCCATTGACTAAGCTTAAAAGGTTTACTCATTCAAGTGAATTCACATATAAGTAGCGAAGAACATTCATAAAAAAATTAATTTTTTACTCATTCCATTTCTCTCTAAAACTAAAAAAAGAGGAGTGGTAATGGCCGGTTGACCCAGCTTAAAAAAAAGTGAAAAATGAAATTAGATAAATAAATTACAAACTCTTCATTTTGTCCTCATCTTCAACAAGCCGAGAGAGAGAGAGAGAGAGAGAAATAATGATTAAAAAGAAAGAAAGGAAATTTCCTAAAAATTACACGATCGACTGTCAAGGTGGGATCTGATCGAGCTTCAATGTCCTCACAATCTACCCAACACCACCACCACAAACTCGCCCATTATCTTTAACTAGATTAGGATTTTTTGAGTTTAAGCTATTGATTTTTCATTTGGCATGTTTTATGAATTTGTGTATTAAATTGTTATGTATGATGTTTATTATATAAGGGAAGATGACACAAATCAAGGAATTCAAAAATCATAAAGTCGGCAACTCCATCTATGCAATTAGTTTGGCCAGAATCACTCCATCTATGCATCAGTTTAGCCCAGAATCATGAGATTTATTCTTTGCAATGAGAGTAAATTTAGTGATTTGTAATTGTTGTACATTTCCTTACGTAGAATTAAATGTCTGTATAAATTAACTAGCAGGATCAATGAAAAGTGTATGTTCAAAGTTCTCATTGAAAGTGCCTTGTGTGTTATTCTCCTATATGGTATCAGAGCTTCAAATTTCTAACGAGAAACTTGATCCCAAATCAGCCATGTCTTCCTCAATCAACCTAAACCCACCTCTGTCCTCCTCTACAGATACACCCCTCGTTGTTTTCAACATTACTGCGCAAATCAATGAGAAGCTTACACCCTCTACATTTCCACAGTGGCGTGCTCAATTTGAAGCCCTTTTAATCGGGTATGACCTGATGGATTATGTGAATGGAGGCCT